TACTCGAAGTGCGACGTCACTCTCTCCAGATCTCTGGGAAATGAGGTGCGTCTTGGGCGGCCCCGAGGAACTATCATACATCCACAATCACTGCGCTAACTACTGACTACCAACCAGAACCATTTGTCCGATATATTCAAAAAAACCATATTGCCCACCGTGGAGAAGTAATAAGTAGAAAAGTTTTTAGAGATCCAATTCCACAAATACGTCTTCTTTCTATTGGTGTTATTATTTTCAGCCCCTCAAATCTTGTGCCCTAGGCTAGAAGGAAAGGGCTATTGCAGCTGAAAGTAGCAAAATAAATATACGAAGGGAAGATAAAAGAAGGACGTTTTCGCACATTCTCCAATAATGCAACTGCAGCCATTATGAACGAACTTGGTAGAACAATGACGGCCGAGCGAATGATGAAGCCGAATCAACGCTGTCGTACTGATTTTATGCCCTCTATAGGCTGTAAAAGTTGCCACGTTTGGCGTTATCTGAACCGGATCGCCGTGGACGCACTGCACCACTGACGTCTCCCAGAGCTTATGCTCCGTGTCACTGTAAAGGAATGTTACTGTTTTGTTGATTCAAAAAAGGCTTACAGTTGAAGAAAGCGAGGTATTCACCGTAGTCCTGGAACACCCAGATGGCAGGAACCCCACATATGCCCAGTCTGGCCCAATTATTGCTAGAATGTACCAAGAGTTCCTACCCATTTCAACCTTTGTGTAGACCGTGATTGGTGCCGAAATTTCGAGTCCAAACGACATTAGCCCTAGTTCTGCACAAGGTATTTGTTTGATATCTGGGAGCTATTACCTTCATTTCAACGGCGGCGTCAGCGTACGCCTCGAGTAGGAACCTCTGTAGCATCCCGCTGGAAGAGCAGCAAGGCCACTTCCAGATCCTCGTGAGAATCGCATTCTCTGTACGTAAAGATACGAAAAATGACAGTCAAAAAGGACTAAGTTAGTGTAGTGCAGTATGACGTCAGACCTAAGATTCAGGAACTCGAGCTGTATCACCTGCGAAACGTGTGTTGTTACCTTGTCGTGGAGCAGCTATCTTTGTAAAGTTTTTGGGACTGATGATATGGTTTTCACTGAACATTTGCCATTGATTGCACTTGGGACTGACGGTGGCGTTAACAAGAAGCAGTAAACAAG